GTGGTGCTGGGGTCAGAGGTGGGCTTTCAGGGTATTTTCAAGGGGATTTTAATTGTTAGCACTTCTTAAAGCAATTTGAACTTCAGAATTAAGCTCAAAGTAAAATTCAGGAATCTTTTCCTCAAATGCTGTTAAGTTAGCAGACCCATTCCTACATTGAGGTGATGTCAGTGGGATGAGCACACCTCAACCTGGATTTGCARCACTTATTTTAGAAGAGTGGTCAGACTGACTGTCCCTTTGTGTCCCCTTCCMCCCATGGAAGGAAAAAGGGCATTCCCTGTTTGGGGACACCTTCAGCAAAAGGTGAGGCTGGACCAAAGCCTGGACATCAGGCTCCTTCTGCTGCAAAAAGGGATTCAGACTCAGCCAGAGCTGCAGCTTCCCTGCGCCTCACAGGTTAAATATTTCCCCCAAAGCAGCCAAATCAGTGATGGGGCTGGCCCACTCTCCTGGTGATTCATTTTCTGTGCCCAGAAATCCGGTCCTTTCCACGCTGGCAAAAGCTGAGCTGGCACCCCATGGAATTTGGGCACATCCCCTTTGGCTTTCCCCGCTGCCTCTGATGCTGCCCAGCTTTGCACTCAGGGAAGAGCTTCCAGGAAAGGCTCTGTTGGTCCCCCAGAGCTCAGAGCAGGGCAGGCTGCAGGACCCAGGGATGGACAGAGCCCTGCAGAGCCCAGGAAGCTCCTTCCACCTGCAGCTCTCCATCTCCAGCTCCTGGCCTGAGTTTTTCCCCTGTGGCTGTGCTGACCCCATCCAGGCCAGGTACCACTTGTGCTCTGCTGGCTGGCTGGATGGAGGCAGGGTGGGATACCCCACCGCCTTCTCCTCCCCRAACTGCGGCTCCGGCCACGTCGGCATCGTGGACTACGGGAGAAGAGCCAACCTGAGCGAAACCTGGGACGTTTTCTGCTACAGGGAGAAAGGTGAGAGGGTCCTGTTCCCATCCCTCTGTGCAAACRGGGGCAGCAGCAGCCCCGATTTTGGTTCCCTTCACCAGCCACAGGCTGCTGGATGATGCTGCAAGGCTCTGCCTCTTCTTTAGCTTTTTAAAAAAACATCACCTGTCTCCTCYAAGTTGCCTAAAGCTTTCTTGGAAAGGGTGTTTGCCCTGCAGCTCTGTGTGTTTGTCCCTTSCAGAGGTGAACTGCASCTGCAAGCCAGGCTACGTGGGGGATGGCATCTCCTGCAGTGGGAACCTCCTGCAAGTGCTGATGTCCTTCCCAACTCTGACAAAGTTCCTGTCGGTAGGGCCAGGGATGGATGGGAGTGGGGAACAGTGGGGTTTGGGTGTTCAGGGTTTGCTTTACTGGCCTGGAAAAGACAAAAAGCAGAGGGGTTTAAACCTGCACCATCCCTGAACTTAGTTATTACTGCTTCTTTAACTTACTTGCTCCAAATGGGTTCTAAAATTCACTTAGAATTAAATGCCTGGTGCAGCTTTAGCTTGAAGCAGCCTCTCTGCATGACTTTTTCAATGAGCACAGTGCCTGGGAACTTTATCCAATTGCCACTGGGAAAGGGCAAAATGTTGAGAGTTCTTTTCTTGTCACTATTCAGAAAGGCATTATCTGTACCAGCAGCCTCAGAGACAACAAGGGCCCAGCTTCTGCAAAGCAGTTTAAGATGAACTCATCAAATCAGCAGCTAGAGCTGGGTTTTGAATACAAACTTCCTTTGTAAAGTCCCTCCAGATTTGCTTTGTGGTTGATAACAGCAAGTCCCCTTGTTGTCATTTATTGTGTGTCATCTTTTCCACTCAGGAGTGCACAATTGCTCTTCAAAAAAAAAAAAAAAAAAAAAGAAAAAAGAAAAAGCTGGATTTTGTTTCTCCCTAGGTGATCATGGTTTACTCCAACACCTCAAGGAAGGGGAGAGAGTTCCTGCAGTACCTCACAGACCTGTCAGTGCAAGCCACTCTCTTTGCTCCAAACGACAGTGGCTTAAAGGAAAACGAGGTCAGAGGTTTTTTTGGGGTTTTTTTTTTTTCCTTTCTTGTTTTCATAATACTTTTAAAACAGACATTATGGGTTTCTGCATCCCGTTGAAATTTAGGCTTAGAAAAACAATCTTAGAATGATGTGACTTCTGTCCAACCCTGTATAATTTAAACTGTGCTCACAGAAGAGGGGCATTCATTGTTTCCATTTCCCTTCCATGGTCAGGAGTGCAAGGTTATCAAGTGCTCAGGTCACTACAGAGGTTTTTCCAGCAGGAATTTTAGTTTCCCTGTTAGGAGGGAGTCTGCCTGAGATGAAATCTGTTCTGGCTTGTTAACACCGAGCACAGTTATTTGAAGAAAGCAGCACACAGCTTTGGTRTTTCCCACAAATACAACATCTGTTCCTAACTTCATTTCCATGCCTACCCCTTTTATTTTTTCTTTCCTTTCTTCAATCAAACAGTGGCTTTTYGCACTCACACCTCCAAGCTGTTTGGAATATCTCAGTTTCATCAATTCAGGTCATCCTAGAGAAGAGGAAAATCCTTTGTGGCACTGGAATTCCAGTCCTGGCTGCTGCTGGCAGCCCCAGGGACAGAGGGTCCCACTGTTCCTGCACAAACTCCACAAAAACCCYTCCTGCTGCTGCACTTGCTGGGGAAAAAAGTTAACAAGCACTTGGCTCACCAGTAAATCCAAAGTTTAATGAGATCCATTAACAGCCCTTGTGTTTTGCCCTCATTTGCAGACCCTGTCTGGGAGAGACATCGAGTATCATTTATCTGGGGCCAATATAATGTTTTATGAGGACCTGACCAATGGAACCACCCTCCTGAGCCGTCTGGGGAAAAAACTCCTCATCACAAACACCGGGGCTCAGGAGCATCGAGTCCCCACTGCTGATCAGGTACCTTTGTCATAAATTTCCTGTCTTTGTGCTTCTCCCCCTCTCATGCCATCCCCTCTAACCAGGTGGCACACTGACCTGGACAGCATTTGGATAAGATTAGAGTGGAGACTGAGTTCAGAAAGCTCTTCACTGTCCAGAGACTGCAGGAAAGCAAACTGCAAATTTAGAAGCTTGCAAATGGACACAACTGTGACCTGCAAAACTCAAAAGTGGCCTTCAGGAATGAGAGAATGGGGATATGGGCTTTATTCAACACTTGBCTCAGCCTGGCAGGATTATAAGATGATGGCTGTGTGATAGGTGATAGGAGAAGAGATGAGAGCAATGATTTATCATTAAAATAAGATGTTGGAATTTGTAAAATTTGTGGGTGAGGCAGAAGATACCAAGCAAACTCCAGCCAGCGAACTGGAGTGACAAGTGGAAAACTCCACAGGGAGAGTKGCTGCCTGGCACTCAGGAATAACAGCACTTTGGGCAGAGCTTGGCAGCTTCACAAAGATCACAAAAGCCTTGATTTGGAAGGGAAAGAGAAAGGACAGAGCAGTGCCTGAAGGTGATACACACAGGTGAAGAGAGGCAGSACCAGCCCAGGGCATCCCAGGCTGATGGCCAGGGAGGCAGCAGCGTGAAAGCCCCACGTGTTTGCYCTCTCTGAGGTGGGAACATCCCCTWAACACCCATTTCAGAGSCAAAAGGAGCAGGGTCAAAGCTCAGCTCCCATTCCTGCTTCTCCCGCAGAGCCAGGTCCGATACGTGGATGGAAGTGCTATTGTTGAGTGGGATATCATTGCTTCCAACGGGATCATCCACATCATTTCAGAGCCTCTGAAGGCTCCTTCAGAGCACGTGAGTACATTGTGATTTTGTTTTTTGGAGTGGTGAGAGGTAACTGTGGCTTACATCACCCTAAACTCACTGCTGACATTCATATATTCCCAGTTTCCCTGACATAAATGCAGCTTTYAGCTTAAAAGCTGACTTTTAAAAARAATTAGAAGTTGAAAACAAGGTATTAGTGAAGCACAAAACATTTACCTGAATAATTTCTTCCCACATTGATAAATTTRTTTTCCTTATACAAAATAACAAAGCTCACGTATGTAACAGAGATTTTATAAAGCTCCATTTTAGTTCTTGCAGAAAAACCTTTCAGGTTTCCAAGGAACATTGGCATTCATTCCTGTCCAAAACAACAAGGTGTTTTGAAAGTAGGTGATATTTGCCTGCATGAGTTCCTGCAAAGATCCTACAGTTATCCAGCTGTATCCTTGGCCTGCAAGGGTTTGTGATGGATTTGGCAGTGCTGGGTGAA